CATGTCCTTTGCCTCTACTATCAGTACCATCTGGAAAGGCTCAGTTTCCTCCATTTTGTCAGTACTGTTAGTACTAGTGCTGGAGGTAGAAGTGCCTTCCTTCCTTTTTACAGAAAGTAACTGGGTTTCCCCCTCACTGAATAAATCTTCTTTTGTAGAAGACGCACTTGCATCATCTTAAAATTGCCTTGTTCATGTTCGTAAAAAGTATTTTAATCATATAATTTCATGTTAGGTTTCTACTTTGGTTGATTAATGGCATTAGTTCTTACAGCTTTTCTCAGACTAGCTATTTTACATTTTGTTTTGTTTCAAATGCATTTGATGCACATATCCTTAATGCAAAGAAATCCTCCAGGAACCTGATGTTATCATTCTCTCTTTTTTTTCAGAATGGRTGAGCCTTCTCATAGTTACCCCCATATCTCAGGACCATGTACTTTCCTTCACCCCTTCTAAAATAAAAATTTTGCCATTTATGGATCCTTTTTGTTTCTTGTGTTTATGTTTGTTTTCTTTCTTTCCTGATGAAAGTTTCTGGTCAAAGATTTCTTATGTTGTGTTATGTACACCACAGCTACTGAGCTATACCAAATGAGCTTTATTTTGGTGAGGGGTAGTGTAAAGTCCCACTATACTTTATATGCTTTATTAGGAAAGAGGTGAAAGATTCATTAGGAATCACAATAAGCCAATATGAATCCAGAGTAGTTCAGCTGATTTCACTTGAAAGGACATTGCTATAACTAAGAACAAAATGAAGATTGTCTTTTGCTTTTTGTGTTCTTTAGTCTTAATTTCCCTCTTTATTTGTTGCTCTAATTCTCAATATTCCTATCCTTTCTAATCTGTGCAGAATAATTAATGTCCTCTGTTGATGTTTGTGCTATGTGTCTCCCTGCTGAGCATATGTCTACTTTTATTTCAGCGATATTTTAGTACAACACTCATTGAAAAATCATCTACTCTTTCTCACTGAAGGCACCTGAGACACTTAACATTTTTCTTTTGTTTCTTCTTTTGTCTCACTCTCTACTCTTACAGTATCCRTTTTTATGATTATTAATGGTACACCTTTCATATACACATCTGTACAGTAGCCTTCAGATTCACATTAGGCAATTTTAGCACCTGGACACTGCAAATGATTGTTTGAGTAAAACAAAACAGTCAGTATGTGGTCTTGTAAGCAAGTTCAAGATGAAAGGAATTGGCATTTGCAGTTACAGATCTGGAACCATATGATATTGGTGTTAATGCTAGCATTTCAGTCTTGGTCATGTTACTTAAATTGGTGKTTTTTCCTCAATATCCATTGGGCACTGCTGGAAGAAGCATTATTCTTATCCCAAGTCAGGCACAGCTGCTTTGGGTCCATAAGTTTACTTGAACACAAAGTTAGTTAGTTATAGAATCATWAAATAGTTAGAAGGCATCTTAAGGATCATCTTGTTCCAACTCCCCTGCCCATGGGCAGGGGCACATTCCACCAGACYAGGTTGCTCAGGGGTCCATTCAATGGCCTTGAACACTTTCAGGGATGAGGCACCCACAACTTCTCTGGGCAACCTATTCAGAGCCTCCTTCCATCTAATGTAAATATCTTCTCTTTTAGTTTAAAATAATTCCCCCTTATCCTATCACTCTCTATCCATCTAAAACATAGCTCTCCCTCTTTTTTAAGTTCCCTTTAGGTACTGGAAGGCCACAGAGGGGTCTCCTGAGGGCCTTCTCTTCTCCAGGTTGAACAATCCCARCTGTCTCAGCCTGTCATCATAGRAGAGGTGCCCCATCCTTTGGATCATCTAGATCCTCTAGACCATAGGAGGTCCACATCTTTCCTGCTCTTTATGCAGTGCTCCAAGTGGACATCTTGAATCATCTCCCTCCACCTGCTGGCCACTCCTCTTTTGATGCAGCTCAGGACGCTGTTGGCCTTCWAGGCTGTCAGGGCACACTTCTGGCTCATGCTCACTTACGTGTGATCCAGGAGACTGTCCACACGTATGTAATTCCAGCATCTTTCTCTAGCTGTGTCCCTGAACCTATAACCCACAGGGAGTTATCAAATGGCACAGAAGCTCCGTGGCAGATGGATCTAGCATGTGAATATACAGCTGCTTTTCTACCCCTTTGTGCCAGCTGGACTGAGGTTTAGGATTGATCCCTTGTTTGGAGAAACAGTTTAAACTACAGCTATGCATCCTTCTAGTTTGTAGAAAAAYGGGTTCACACCCCACTTCCAACATGTTCATGTACTTTATTTAGTTACAGCCAGTTGAATACTTTGCTCTAGAAAACATAGTTTAAAATGCATATCTTCACTGTACATGTTGAGTTAGTTGCAATTTGAAAAAAACCAATAATTTAAGCCACCCTTGTGAACACCTTATGAGAGAACAATTAATTAGAGGCCCACCAATGTATTTGGAAAAAAAAAAAAAACAAAATAAAAAGGAAGCATTACAGTACACCTGAAGAATCTCAGGAAAACAAAAAAAATCAGTAACAGCAGCTAGTGATTAATTTTATCATAATCTCCATGTAGAGAAATCATAAAAATATGATGGTAATGTAAATTTTAGAAAGAATAAAGGCAAGAAGACTATGAACTGTGTACATTGATTATGTAAGATGAGAAATTGTGAAGGGCTTTGAAATACAGCGAGCGACTCAACCAGGAAATCTCAGTCCAACATGTAGTCTTTTGAATGCTTGATTGCTTGGTGTTTTCAAATCTTCATTAGGAAATCATCTAAGACTCAGACAAGTAAAGTATTAGTTRTTCAGAAACAGGTTTTTGTTTATGTGCAGGGTAAACCACTAGGGCTACCAGTTCTTAGATATGTCACAGGGCATGCTGATAACTACCTGAGGGGAAAGGATTTCCCTCCACATTGCATTACTCAAAAATCAGCTCAAAGTTTGCAACTTCCTCTGAAATACTTGCAGAAGGAAACACGAAGGAAGCAGGAAGCAGGACGAGGAGTGACTCTTAACCTAGTCTGGTTTAGAAATTCCAGCATGTCTACCTAACTACAATCTATGTAATTTATATCTAACATATTTRTTATACTCAATTAAGTTCCCAAATTAGCTTTTTATCGCTTATTCATGTAGAAAGGTACATAGAAACAATCTGATTCAGTATCCAAGGGTAAGCATCTTTCCTTGGTGTTACTATTACAGCTTTTCTAGCCTAGAAGCTGAAATTGTCTAAAATGACAGCACTGGAATCCCTGAGACACCAATTGTATCCACTCAGTTATCTCCTGGCACCTATCAGCTATTCATGTCTGTATGTTCTATCACATGACACCTGGCAGTTTATTCTCTTCTAAGAAGTTTACATTCAGATATGATGTTCCTGGGTACCTGGTAAGGACCTACAAATCCATTCTTTGGAGATTATTTAAATGGTGTTGCCTTTAAGACAGTGAGTATGTAGGATCACTGGATGCCATTAAATTCTGGGTGATAACAGACAAAAAAGATAATTATAAAATTAAAATCCTGCTTGAAGAATGATGTATACTTCAAGCCTCAAATGAATTTATATCAATTATATTTTTCATTCTTTTTAATGCAAWATCCAAGTATTGTAAAATTATATACATATTTGTATTGGTAGACTTAAAGTACAGCACCCAGTTCTGGATGAGAGCTGCTTCTACTTAATACCTTCCTGGAAGTGCTACTAATCCTTGAGCAATATTCCATTCACCTTAAGGTGCAACTTAGCCTGGGTAATGGCTAGTTCTTGTCACTATTCAATCCTAAGTAATCTTTATAGACACTCAGAATCTCCTCCCCCTTCGGTCACAGTTTCTTGTCTACTGAGGGAAAAACAAGAGTCAAAATCTTAGACCACGCAGAGTTAATGTAGCCACTGAAAATTCCATTTTCCTAAGAACCACTGATGCCAGACACCTGTTTCAACTATATTGATTCTTTTTTTTAGCACCTGAAGCCATGAGTATGTGCAGAAGTTGTTTTCCAATCATCTTTCTCTACATAAGAAACATTCACTTCAAGGCCAAGCTATGGGATTCCAAGCCATTTGGCAGAAGTTACCAACAAACACTCCGTGATCTGGGATGAGCCAAGTGACACAGTACATTTCATTTCAAAATTCTGTCAGAGGCATGGTCTGCTTAAGGAAACAGAAAGAGCTGGGCATAGCATTTTTTCATTCCTGCTACTGAGTGCCTTCCAGTGAGACACCCCAAGATATCATTGTGTCAAGGCTAATGCAGCTGTTGTGAACTTTATAAAGAGGGCCTTTTTTCTCCCTAATTTTTCAGCTATTCAGTAGTCTTCCTCAAAAGACAACAGTAGGAGCTGCTTATCAAAAGTAGTGCAACAAAAGRTTAATGTTTTTTCCATTTTTTTATTTCATCTCCTATCCAAACAACCATTTTTCTTTAAATCTTGAAATTAAACCAATATTTGCTGCTTAGAGTACCACAAATATTCACTTTAGACAGTACKGAGAAACTTTCACCAACAGAAGAGGCCCTAAGAAATATGCATCTATTTTGAAAACTGAAATATAGTAATGAAATTTTAGGGACAGTAGAATTACAAATATGGCTTTTACTGGTTCAATTTAAGGTACTTTTTCTTTAGTTGGATGTTTACATGAATACTGAAGTTTCCATATTTGAGCCCTTTCCCTTGCCCTGTCACTACAGTTATAGCTCTGCTGACAGCTCGGGGGAGTTGTGCAGCTCACAAAGTGTCTGAGCTGTACAAACCTGCACTGAAGCAGCTCTTCACCTGACACTTGTCTCTACCTCAAGTGCAATAGATCTATTCTATACCCGCAGCCCACCTCACACCCTGCTTGTGCACACCACCCAAGTTTTCCTTTTAAGATCTGCTGCCATGGGAAGGAGTTCCTGAATTCCTTAACAGTAGTGAAAGATGCGCGACTCAGCAGGGATATTTTAGTTCAGCAGAACAAATTTGCTCTCACAGTTCACATCTCAAGGTCCTACCTTTGACACTTGGAGGGGTCTTTTCTGCTCTGAACCCCCTTGCAGGCGGAAGCCCCAGGGGGCACCTCCAGACAGAGTGATGAGCATTTCTTCTTCAGCTCCCATGATTTCTGTGCTTTAGATATTTCTGTGCTTTAGTCTTTGCAACTTCAGTACAGATTCCAGTTCTTAGCAAGCAGAATCTTCTATTCCCATATTCACAATTCACACCACCACTCTCCAGTCCTCACAAGGCCCTCTGCTCACTTTCTCCTTGAAGTTCACACACACAAGAGTTGAGACTGTCAAGACCAGCCTTCACTGCTCTTCTGAACTCTCAGCTGCTGCTCTGCCTATGATTAGACATTTGATTCTGTCCTTGGTAAGGGGCCAGAGTTGTCCTACACACGTGTCATGTCAATCTCACCCTCTGTGCCCCCCCCCCGCATACATGATGGATCTCTCACCGGAACGTGGCTGAAAATAGCACACCTCCTGTCTCTCCAGAGCTTTGTCTGACACTCTTAGAGCTGGAAGCATTTCAGTAAAAAAATTTATTTCTACTTCACATTTCAAATGCAAATCTTAGAGTCACTCAGTATTCAGGATTCATTAGTATGAGTTTCYGGCAAGGACATGTCACAGGCACAAACTTATACAAGATCAGGTGATAGCACCTGACACTATGAATTTAACAAAACCAGCTTGCAATTAATGTGCTCTCTACTTCTATTTTCTCCATGGAGCTAGTGTTGTTACCCAGCAGCACTATGTGCCTGCCCCAAAAGCCACAGGCAGACTAGAGACGTACTGYGCTCCCTCTGCAGCGTGTTGCTCCCTGACATCCCCTACACCCACTCGTAATATTAGACACTGGGACCAGAATAGCTGGGATTAGCTACGCAGACAGGAKTCGAACAGTTCTCTGCAGGGCACTGCTTACACAGACTCAATGGCCAAGAGAGCGGCTTTGCACCCAGGTCATAGAATCAGAGAATCACAGAATAGTTGGGGTTGGAAGGAACTTTTAAGGATCATCTAGCCCAACCYACCTGCAGTGAACAAGGACATTTTCAACCATATCACATTGCTCACAGCCCTGTCCAACCTGACCTTGAGTGTTTCCAGGGATGGGGCATCTGCCACCTCTCTGGGCAATCTGTTACAGTGCTTCACCAGCCTCATAGCACAATTTTTTTTCCTTATATCTAGTCTAAATATACCCTATTCTCATTTAAAACCATTACCCCTTGTCTTATAACTATAAGCCCTATTAAAAAGTCTGTCTCCATCTTTCTTATAAGCCTTCTTTAAGTAYTGAAAGACCACAATAAGGTCTCCTCAAAACCTTCTTCAGGCTGAACAAACCAAACTCTCTCAGCCTTTCTTAGTAAGAGAGGTCTTCACCCTGTGATCATTTTCTGGGCCTTCCTCTGGACCTGCTCCAATGGGTTTTTGTCTTTCCTGTGCTAAGGACCCCAGAACTGGACACAGATCTCCTGGTGGGATCTCACTGGAGTGCAGTAGAGGCCTTCAGTGTTTTTTCTTTAGGACTATGACATGCAAGACCCACTGGCTATCTCAAACCAGGGAGTTACAGAAGAATTAAATTCCATGTTCCCTCTTCACTACAAGGCTTAAAATGTAATTTTCTGTTTAGGTCCTGAGGACAAGCTTACCCTTACCACTTCCTTATTCTGCATGTGCTTATCTCTCAGTCACTATTACCTTATTGATCTCTGTGATACCCTTATACCATAACATCCACAGGCTGTAGCTTTACTATGATACCATTGACTACTCCATTGCCAGTACTATAGCACTATTCATCCAGGTCCATTGCAAATTGCTGGTGGGCATGCACCAACACAATCATAGAATCACAGAATCATCAGAATCATCAAGGTTGGGAAGAGACCTTTATGGTCCTCAAGTCCAACCATCCATTCCACACAACCACTGTACCTCCTAAACCACAAAACCACATCACTCAGCACCAGATCCTGATGCCTTTTAGGCACCTCCAGGGATGGTGACTCCACCATATCCCTGGGAACCCTATTCCATTGCCTGACCACCCTAACAGAGAATTTTTTTTTTTAGTATTCTAATATTCTCAATCTCCCATCTCAGCTTTAGGCCTTCCTCTTGTCCTCTCTGTAGGTGCAGTAGAAGAGACCAGTCCCCACCTCATGCAATCACCTTTCAGGCGGCTGTAGAAGGCAATGAGGTCCCCASTTGAGCCACCTGAGGCCAGCTACCTCAGCCATTCCTGTAASACAAGTTGTCTAAACCTTTCATGAGCCTTGTTACATTTCTCTAGACACACTCCAGCACCTCAATGCCCTTTCTGAAGTGTGGGGCCCAGAACGTAGGGCAACACTTGAAGTGTGGCCTCACCAGTGCCGAGTACAGAGGAACGATCACCTCCCTGCTCTTAGCAGGGAGTGATCAAGTCTTTGCACYCTGGCCCTGGTTGCTACCCTGTGGCGGTCTTTCACAGGCCGCTTTGGGACAGGCGGCCGAGGGCACCGTGGTCATGCGGGTCGCGGCCCAGCAGCGTTCGGCCGTGCCCTGCCGCCCCCTCAGCTGCCCGTGCGGACASTGCTGTCCGGGCTGCACGAGAGACAGCCCCATGACCCGAGCCCGCAGCCACCGCCCAGCCCAGTCGGGACGTCAGCAGCCGCGGCCTCCCGGCGCTTGCGCCGCATCCGGGCCCTGGCGGGCGGAGCGCGGACGTGGCAGCGGCGGGCGGGGAGCGGCGGGGCGGGAGCCGGAAGCGGGCCCGGCAGTGGCGGCGGCAGCGGTGGTGAGTGAGGCCTGAGGGGGCTCCGGGTGGCTGGGCCTACMGGCGGGGCCGTGCTGTGCCCGGAGTGGGCTGGCGGACGGGAGGGCGGGCGGCACCGCGCCGGGCGACCCAGACCCGAGGCGCTGCCGCCGCTGCCGCCGCTTCCTTCTTCGCCGAGGCCCGGCGTTGCCCGGTCCGGTGACGCGTCGGGCCCACCGTGCAGTGCGCCACGGGCGGCTCTGCAGAGCCCGGAGGCTCCCTAGAACCCCGGACGGGAGCGTCCTCACCGCCYGCGGCCCGGCGGGTGCCGGCGGCCTGCGGGGCCAGGCCGGGCCGGCTGTCGGCGGGGCCTGCKCTTCCAGTGCCTGGGCTGCCCTGAGGGAGCCGTCGGTGTCCTGGTGTGGTGCGGCGACTCCCGGCGGCTGCGAGTCGGGCCGTCGGTCCCGCCCGGAGAAGCGAGTGCTTCTTTTTGGCCGGGGTGCGCCGCGAGTCAGATACCCCCTCTGCAACCTCCCTAATCTCCTGTAATCTGCGGATCCTTCCCCTGGCGTTTGTGCTGTGCTGTTCAAGTTTTCATTCATTCGAGCTTTATAAATGATGGTCGTCCCTTGCGTAGACCTGGCGACTGAGATTGATTTGATTTGGTTCTAAAACTTAGTGGTTGCTTGTCTGTGGCTCTGAAAAAAAGGAAGGAGGAAAGGAAGGAGGAAAGGAAAGGAGATGGCATGATCGAAATACAAGTGTAGTCTTGAAAAGGTGGTTATGCAAGATGGGACTTTTGCTTTCTTTGTAGATGGTGCTTCAAATGCGCTTATTTTCTGTTGCTGGAATTTGCTCTCACCCTTTCTGAGCAATGCTTTTGATGGAGGACAGTGAAGCTTAGTTTCCTTTTTTTTTTTTTTTTTTCCGGAGTGTACTGAGCTCTGAGAGAGGCTTTGCAAAGCCATGCAAACTTGGCTGTAGCTGAAGTTCTGGCTAATGGAAGTGGTTGCTGGAGCAAAAGTGAAAATTGGTTACGCCTATATCAGAAGTTACCCACTGTGAGTTAATGTTCGTACTGTCATGTGAAAATACAGATTTTTTCGGTTTGGTAGTCCGTTGATTTTTAGCCATTAATGTGAGGGTTCCATAAAAATATTTCTAGGTYCGTTTGTGTTACAGGATTCCATAGTCAACTTTACCAAATGTGAGGAATGTTAAACAGAAATAACCATCCTGATCAGGCATAACATGCAAATTATTTTTTGTTGTTTTTTACAAGCAGTGTAAAATCACAGCACTGGAATGGGAGGTGACTACTGATTTTGTACTGAAGTCWTTACTGTTTATTAATATGAAGTTTTCTTGAGTAAATTTAGGGGACTCTGGCTTTAACATTGTTTTTTATTTTCCCCCAGTCTTCTCCTAGATTAGATCTTCCAGCTACAGTACGGWTAGAAATGTATGTAGCCTAAAACTTCTGAGCCTTCATCTTTAAAGGAGGCTTTGTTTCAATCACATGTATACACTGTCTGTGAAAATATAAATATTTCTATTCATTTTTATGTGGAACGGGTACTTGCTAATGRAACTAGCCTTTTCTGCTTGAAGCTGTGCCATTCGGAATTCGTTTGTTGCTGGAAACAGACTGAAGTGGACATCAATATAAAGAATATATAATTGCTTCTTAATATACTGTGACAYTCACTCCAGGTTCTCATTTCATGGCTGAAAGCTGAGTTACAGCAGTGAACAGATGTTTAAAGGATTATTTCTTTGATGAGTGGTTTGGTGCTTGTACCTCTTTGAATGTTTTTTCATGCTCTGATAGGACTATATTATCTTCCTGTAACACTTATTATCAGAAAGAGGGTCAAAAATCAAAGGAAGAATTGATAGTTGGCTAAGGAAGGGCAAGGTACAAAGAGTCACTAGCAGTGCTCGGCAGCAAGGTCTCTGCAGAAGAGAGGAGGTGGATGTTTCTTGTTCTTTAGGTTTGAAAAGCTGTGTTAGGGATAAATTGTGAAGATTGAGCCTGTTTGTATATGTTCAGCAAGATTCATTGTTAACATAAAAAGCACTAAAAGACAGTGTAAACTGGCAGTATTTATTTGGAAGAGCTTATTCTGATCTTTTTTTGTTTCTTGGAAGTGATGGAAATTGTGTAATGTATATTTGTGTAGAGGAAATCAGAAATTGTGGWTGAGAGATGGCCAGTGTTACAATGTGTGTGAAGACTTGTTTTTTAGTCTTACTCTATGTATTCCCATTCTTCCTTTCTTCCTCCTGACCTCCTTTGTRAACTTGAAGCTGCTCATGTAACTTTTTCTGATCAAGTATACTTGTRCAAGGTTTATAG